CGGAGAGCATCCATTCCCCACACATGGAACACATACGCGGGGGGCGGGGGGCAGTCTTTCTTCCACAACTGCGAGCGATGGCCTAGACCAGGTGGACTATGCCGTATCCGGTAGGGAAGCCTGGCGGGTTGCCGCTACCCTCCGCCCTTGTGGCGGGTGCGGGAGACAGTTTTAGTGGGTATGTGTGGAAACCGTCCCTCTTCTAGGGGCGCCGGAAGCGAGAGTCCCACACTATCTGGGCTATATTCCCAGATGTCTGTTATTGGATTTCTGTCTTCCTCAAACAAAAAGAAAAAAAAGGATGGGATGGAGATAGAGAAATTAGCTGCCCTGGCCCATAAAATAGGCGAAATCACGCCTGAAGCTAGGGCGCCATCAGCCGTAGCGTCCATTTCCGACGTTGATCAATTGGTAAAACAGATTGCAGCCTTGGTTACAGCCGAGTTACAAAAGCAGGACGGCAGAGGGCGTTCGCGTTCCTGAAGCGGCGACCGTTCTTACCGACCGAGGTCGAAAGCACGCCTGGACCGCCGTAATGGGTTGTGTTATTTCCATTCTAAGTTTCGCGAGAGGGCGCACCGTTGTGTATGTGGCGCCCTCGGTCGTGCGCACATTTTCGCCCGTGAGAACACCATCTAGAAAGGAAATATATAGAAGTGACAACATGGCCGTACCAAGAACAAGCGTCGTTGATTTTCCCTATCCTCCATCTTCACAAATTGGTGACCCCGACGTGATCGGAAGAGCGTAAATTAATCCGACGCAATCGATTAAATCGATGCAACTGTTTAAGTCGTAAGTGAGCATATAAAAATTGCCGGATTGTGAACAGTTAGTCTTTAGCAATAGTGTTGTTTATAGTGCACGTGGTAAAGGCGTCGTGGACAAAAACTTTAGACATTAAATCGTATAGTGTGTATTCATGGACATTAAGTGCGTGTTATTAAAAAAAGGGACAAGATGCCTGAGACGCGTTCAAAAAGTGCAGAAAAAGTTGAAGAATTCGCAATGGCTGAGGACAAACCATTCTCGGCAAGTGGAAGCAACGCGTTGACCCCAGCAGCGGTAGTCCGGTTGCCGCCTTTTTGGAAGGGAAATCCGGAAATATGGTTTGCGCAGGTCGAAGCAGCTTTTGACCTAAACAAAATTGAGTGCGATGACACAAGGTTCAAGCACGTTATTGTCAATTTGCATTCGGATGTTTTTCCCTTTGTAACAGATATTATATCGTCGCCGCCGTCGAGTGGCAAATATAAAACTTTGAAAGCGCGCGTCCTTAATTCTTTCGGTGAGAGCAGCGAAGCTAAGCTGCGGAAGCTGTTTCAGGGGCACGTGCTAGGTGCGGAAAAACCGTCAGTCTTGCTGCAAAAGTTAAAGAACCTGGCAGACGGACAATGCAGCGATTCAGTTCTCAGGACATTATTCCTGGAACACCTCCCCGAGCAGGTTAAATCTATTTTTAACCGACTTCGAAAAAGGAGGAGGTTACTCAATTCGATCAGTATTTTTTTTTTTTTTTTTTT